AGGCTGGCTTTGAGCTCACTTTGTAGCCCAGGCTGGTCTCGAATTCACAACGATCCTCCTGCCTCAGCCTCCCGAGTGCTAGGATTATAGGGATGCACCTCTCGCCCAGCTGACATTACTGTTTGAGGCCTGCCCAGCAGAACTGCCCGGTAGACATGATCACAGTGGGCAGCTCGGTCATACAAGGACAGCTGACCCAGACACAAGCTGCTGACTCGTTTGTGCTACTACTACTCATCAGCGCTCATTGATTTTAATTATTATTACTCTTTTTTTTTTTTTTTTTTTTGTATTTGAACCGGGGATTGAACTCAGGCCGGGGTCTACAGGGTCTACAGAGTCTCATTGCGTAGATCGAACTCATAGTGATCCTCCTGTTTACAGACCCAAGTGCTGGGATTACCAGTGTGCGCCACCATGCCCAGTCTCAATCACCCTCACAGCGCACCCCAGGGGCAGGGCTGACACAGCAGGCCCAGGGATCAAACTCCTGGCCCCGGCGACTGCCTAAGCAGGCGCTTTAATCTGCTGTGTTGGGTTTTTGAGATACAGTCCATTCTGTAGCCCAGGGTTGTCTCAAACTTCCCACAATCTGTCTGCCTCAGCCTCCCGAGCTCTGGAACCGAAGGCGTGGGCCACCACCACTTCTCTAATCGGCTGTGATGCTGGGTTTGTTCTCTGCAGCATGTGCTACAAGTGGCTGCACTGTGTCCCTGAAGTGGCTGTCCTGTGACACAAGCCAAAGGCCCTGTGCATCCCATGCCTGCTTCTCCCTCATCTTTAACAGTGCACACAGACAGTGTTTATCAGGCAAAGACAGTGGAGCAGCTAGCTGAAAAGGCAGACTTGCCCGACAGAACATTTTTTTTTTTTTTCTCAGAACCAGGGATTGAACTCAGGTCCTTGCGCTTGCCAGGGAAGCGCTTATTCCACTGAGCCGTCTCCCCGGCCCCAGAACATGTTTTTAAAAGTGATGCTGTCTGCTTACATTCAGAACTGGGATCTACTTCTCCTAGGGCTCCCACGGGCACCCCATGGGCCAGAACCTGCACGGGATATCCTAAGTGCCAGATTCGCGAGGAACAGGGACTGGACTAATAAAGTCAGAAGAATCTTAGCAACGGACAAACTTCAAGGGTCCAACGTGAGCAATACTGAAGTTAAAGGTGTTGGCATGGTGCCCTGACGTGTGACTGGGCAGTGGCTCTGACACTGACCCTGGAAAGGCATCCTCAGGCAGACTGCAGGGAACCTGAGCTCATCCCAACCGGGTCCTGGCAGAGCCGTCACTTGCTGCCCCGTCTGCTGTATCTCGAGGGAGCGCTAAGCCCAGACCTGGAAGACAGGAGCAGGAGCTGTTCAGTGCTCGGTCCTGGCCTGCAAGGCGGAGCTCTGAGAGCACAGCACAGCTCCCCAGCTGAGAAGGCGCATGGGCACAAGCAGGACTCGCCTGCTTCACTAAAGAGGACACGCACACACACAAGCAGGGACTCTGGCACAGGAGCTCACAGTCCATGCACCTCTTTATTGTAGAACCACACATCAAGCCACCCTTCAGTGGAGACACCCACATGGCAGTGCCACTCTGCCCCTCACCCCAGCCCGGGATCTGGAGATGCTCCTTCACAGAAAGGCCCAGCCCCACCCGCTGGCTGGAGCAGTCTGCCAGCCCCTCTGTGTCCTGGGCTGAGCCCTGATTATCCACACTGAGCTGGGCAGCGCCCTGGGTTCTGCTCCACAAAATGCCCACCTTGGTGCATCGTGGAACCCACGGGGCCACACCAGTTTGGCGGAACATCCCAGGGCAGCCTGCAATCGCCAAGGGGCCTACAATGCTGACACCATAGGGCCAGCAAGTATGGCAGGAAACAGGATGGGACTGTCACCAGCCCTGGTGTCCTGGGCCAGGACATTTAGGGTCCTACACTCAGTGGATAGGGCCCTCTCTGCCCAGGGCACTGTCCCTTTGCTTTCACCTGCAAGGAAAAAGAAGCATGGCTCCTTACCCGAAGGGTGTGGTCCCAGGACCCTGAGCAGAAGGCTGTGCCGTCAGGAGACACGCGCAGGGTGCTGACTCGGTTCTCGTGTCCAAACAGGATGGAGACTCGTGTGCCCTTGAGCACGTCCCACACATTGATGGTGTAGTCATTGTAGCCGGCAAACAGCAGGCGACCTTGAAGTGGGGGACACCATTACGGGGCCACTCCTTCCCAAGCTGCTTCCTCTCATGACCTGCTCACTCACTCACTAATGCAGTCTATGGACCCTGTGCCCACTTCTGGGACTTCAGAGGGCACTCAGGCATTGCCAGGCCCGGGAATGAATCACTAGTGTCACGTGGCACAGCCAGACTTTAAGGGCCTACATGCACATGTGTGTCCCCAGATGTCTGTGCACACATGAAGTGCTGAGAAAGCACAGAGCATTCTTAGGCCCTGGAAGGCAGAGCCTGGTGCTCTGGGGCAGATGTGGCCGGCCAGGAGGCTGTCACACTCTGGCCTTGCAGGACAGGGCCATGCGGGCAGCTCTCCGAGGGAGGCCTTACCGCTGAGGGAGAAGTCCACGCTGGACGCTCCGAAGATAATGCTCTCCTTGGAGTAGATGGCCACCTCCCTGTCTGCCCGAAGGTCATAGAGGCGACACTGGGTACAAGGAGACAGACAAGTTTTCTTCCCTGAACAGACTGTAGCACTAAAATTAGAAAAAAGTTATTTTCTGAAAAATAAAATGAAGGTGGCACATGGCTTTTGCCCAGGACAAATCCCTGGTGGGAGCTCAGGCACTCACTGTGGCATCGTCTGAGCCTGAGGCGAAGGCGTCCCCACTGGGGTAGTACCTGCAGGAGGTGAAGAGGATGTCAGGGGGCTCCTACCCATCACCCAGGTACCTTGGGGGCCCCTCTAACCTTCCTCTGGGTCACAGGCGATAGTGACGATGGGTGGCCGGTGTGTTCCCACCTTGCTCTGGGCCTGGATCTGAGGCCAAGGATAAGGAAGTGGGATGGCCATGAGCAGAAGAACTGCCCTGCAGAGCCCTGCGCAGCTGTCTACATTGGTATGCACCCTGAGTTCCACAAGTAGACCCAACATAGCCCCGGGATCAATGTGCACAGCTCTGACCTCCACTCTCTGCGCCCCTCCAGGCCTCATGCCCTGGGACAGCAGAGCTGGGTCTTTCCCGCTCAGGTTCTTCTATCGCATTGTCACCTGGTAGTGATGTATGTAAAACTGCATTTGTTCCCTGTATTTTATGTCATTTGTCTCTCGTAGGAGGTGGAGCCCTGGTCTCTCTTGGCTACCTCTGTGTCCCCAGTCCTGAGAACAATGCCTGGCACAGAAACTCTGCACAGGTCTTTGTTGAATGAAAGAGAAAGACTGACTTGACTTTGGGATGGTATCAATGGTCCCTAAAACAACACAGTTAAAACTACCCGAGGGCTCAGTCACTGCTAGCCCTTGTTGCCAAGGAGCCCTCTCCCAGCAGGGAAGCCGAGTCTAAGGATGGGTACCCTACTTGGCCTGTGCCCCAGCACCTCCATAGGACAGAGGAGCACTGTGTCCACCCCACTCACTGACCGGACGCTGTTGATGTCTGACTCGTGAGTCTCGAAGGCCTGCACGCACTGGCCAGAACGCATGTCCCATACCATGGCCTTCTTGTCACAGCCCTGCAAATGAGATCACTCTGGTTATGGCTGCTGTGGGGGTGGCCTATACATAGGGCCTGGATCCAATGTACTTCCTCGGAACGATGCTCTCCTGACCCCTGGACCCTGGGAAGCCCCTTGGGGAAACAATTTCTTCTCTGTCACAGGTTTCTGGGCCTGAACTTTTAGTGCCCCTTCCTTAACCCTCCCCTTTCAGCCCTGGCTATGAGCACTGAGTTGCCACTGAGACTGAGTGTCTCTGACACAGGAAGGGATCTCAGTGTTTTAGTGGACTCTGAGAGCATTTTGATGAATTCCTGCAGCTTGATCTACCAGCAAGTTCACTAGCGAAGTGCAAACTCTCAGCAGTAGATGGGAGAAGTGAGGCCCCAGGTAGCTGACAGTGTCACGGGATGACCATGAGAGACACAGCATTTGGCACTTTTACTGAGCATAGGGACGAGGAGATGCAGGACTTTCGAGTCTCGGTGCACGCTGAGTTGGTACCCCCGCCATGAAGGGGCCACCTGGCTCTGGCCTGCCTCGCTGCCCACTGACTCTCGCTACCATCTGCTCGCTGTCAACACTTGCACTCACTGTGGCAGCATCTCAGGGTCGCTGAGCCCTGCTGGCACAGGGTCAAATTAAAGACAGGAAACTCAGAGCTGGGCAACAGAAGCTGGGGCAAAGGCACCCTGATTTCTTGCTGGCTCAGGATGAACCTGTGCCTACTCTGTCCTGGGCCCGGGGCAGTGGCAGTAAGTAGCCAGCAGGGGTGGGGCGGGACATTGGGACATCAGTGCCACCTTTTTTTTGTATGTAGTATAGGGTCTATAGGGTCTCACTGCACAGATTGAACCCATAGTGCTTCTCCTGTTTGCAGCCTCCCAAGTGCTGGGATTATGGGCGTGCACCACCATGGCCATCTCAGCACGCCCTGGGGGTGGGCCAGCACGGCAGGCCAGGGACTGAACCCCGGCCCCTATGTCTGCCTAAGCAGGCACTTTAGTCTGCTGAGCTGTCTGGTGACCCCTCAGTGCCCCCTCTGCCTCAGCACCGGCCCCTGCGCCACACCTCCTGCTCTGACATGGGCTCTGTCTTCAGGTGTCAGGTGCAAGGGGTGACAAAAAAATATGGTGAATGTTCACATTAAAAAAAATTGCTAAAGGATACACAGCTGTGAACACACTCCTCCTGTTGTCCTTGTCACCTGCGGCAGTGGCTCTGGAGTCCTTGCTCCTGTGTGTCCTTAGATGTGCTGCGGGTCTTTAGGACCGGGGGGGCCTCGGGCAAGGTGGCTCTTGCTGTGCTAACTTCTAAACGTTTCAGCCTCGCTGTGTATTCAAGTCACACCCTGGGGAGCTGCCAAGCCTTGGGACAGGACACTGTAGGTTCCTCTGCAGACCGCTGTGTCACGGGTAGAGTGAAACAGGGACCTGGGGCCTGAAGGGAGTACGGGGAGCGGAGGACACTCGGGGTGCCCCCACAGATGGGCCCGCCATTACCCCGGACACGAAGGTGTTCCCGGTCTCCGAGGGCGCCAGGTCCAGGCACAGCACGTCGGCCCCATGCCCATGGAAGCTCTGCAGCAGCTGCCCGCTCTCCACGTCCCACAGAGCGCAGGTGCCATCGCCGCTGGCCGTCAGGATCTGCCGCAGGGAAGGACAGGGACGGCTCAGAGGCCCGGGTCCCAGCAGGCTCCATTTGCATGTCCTGCACCTGGCTCCCCCACGGGCTGGCACCTGGTGCAGGAGGCACCAGGGGTCGTCTGTGAACAGGCTCTCTCTGCTTCCCTGCTTACCCTTCTCATCTTTTTGTTTCGTTTCCTTCTGAGGAGACTGGAATTTGAAACCAGGGCCTCCTGTAAACTGAGCAAGGGCTTTGCCACTGAGCTACACCCCCGGCTCCTTTATTTTATTTACTTATTGTATTTTAGTAAGAATCTACATGGTCTCACAACGAAGATCTGACGCATAGTGATCTGCCTGTGTTCAGCCTCCCAGGAGCTGGGATTACAGGTGCACACCCAGTCTCAACTGCTGTCTTGGTGCACCCAGGGGGCAGGGCCAACACAGTATGCTGGGGATCAAATTCTGGCCCCTGTGTCTACCTAAGCAGGCACTTTAATCCGCTGAGCTGTTTGGCCGGCCCTCCCAGCTCTCTTAAAACATATTTTAAGACAAGGTTTTGCTAAGTTGCTCCAACTCTAACCTGTATCCTCCTGCCTCAGCCTCCTGAGTAGGTGGGACAACAGGTGTGCACCCCTGTCTGGCTACTGCGTGCCTGTCTGAAGGGGAGTAGAGGCTGCCTGACTGGGTTGGCGTGCGGAGCACTGAGACCCAGGGGGGCGGCCCCAACCCGAGGGGCAGCCTGAGCTGACAGGCCCAGTGTGGCACCCCAGGGCCAAGCAGCGGAGAGGGACTGCGGGACAGGTGTGGGCAGAGGCCTCTGGGCTTCTACACGTGCTGCAGAACATGGAGCCCAACGTCAGCCAGGTCACTGTCCCCTGCTCAGTGCTTCCCACTGAAGCACTGTGCTGTGCTGGTTAGAACGGCGCCTGGCAGATCGGGGATAGGGAGAGGAGGACGCTTGGCTCTGAGCTCTGCTCCCACCTGCTCCCCACCCAGGGGACCCTGCCAAGCCAGTGGAGGACCAGGGCGGCACGGAGCACCCATGGCCTCTACGCCGGCTGTTGTACCTGCATGTCGGAGTTGGTGAAGCTGCAGGCCGACAGGTAGTTGGTGTGCATGGCCACCGACTTCTTCTTGGCTGCCATGTTCTCGTTCTTGTCAAAGGTCAGCGGGTACACAGAGCACTTGTTATCCAGGCCCCTGGAGACAGAGCCACTGTGGGTCAGGTGGATGTGCGGTCTGGGGCACCACCGCCTGCACCCTGGCCTTGGCACACCCCCTAACCGGGAATCCCCGCCCCCTGAATTTCACACCGAAGATTCCCAAACCTACACTATACACTACAACAACAACTGAAAAATCCAATAAAGATCCGAGCAGCCAAAGGCTTTTGTCCTAGACTCACAGCCACTTTGTCAGGCTTGTGGAGGAGAATCTCAAACTCTTGTACTGAGCACACGTGAGGAACTTCACAAAGCCCCGCTGTGTCCTCAAATAGGCCAGTGTCCGCGCTGTCCTTGGGACCCAGCCCTACCTCAGTTCAGCGGCCACTGGAAGAACTTTCCACCCTTGACACACGCTCTGCCTATTTTTGTGTGCATTGTAGGAGATTTCATGCCCCTGTTCACAGTCTGTCCCTGGATCTGCCACAGTTTTTTCCTGCCACATTTTGTAAGGCTGTCAAGGACAGACTGAGTGTCCTGTGTCTGAAACCCGACGTCAGACTAGGACATTTGTGCAGACACAGTGAGCCTGAGGCCTGGGCAGGGCACGCCTGATGGCCACGTGTTCACACACCTGTTCCACATGCCAAGGTCATGTGACACAATGTCCTCGCACCCGTGCCTGTGGGATGGAGCCGGGTGTCCCAGGGCAGCAGGGTCGTGTCACACTCCCTGCCTGGAAGCCATGGAGCAGCTCTTAGTGCTCGGGCGGGCCCAGGAAGTACGGAGGCTTCTACCCAAAAGAGTCAGGATTTCTCAGTTTAGCATCTCTGCTTTCGTCATCCTCCTTCATATTTTAGTTTCGGTTTTTCAAGACAAAGTCTTGCTACATCGTCGAGGCGGATCCGGGATCTTCCTTGGGGCGTCCTCCTGTCTCAGCCTCACTAGTGTTGGAATCACAGGCACGTGCCACCACACCAGTCTCTCCACACTTCACACTTCGTATGCTTTGGTTCTTGTCACACCCACAAGGTGGCCAGCACAGGAACAGACCACCTCCATGTGCAAGGCCAGGGACACAGAGGGACCTTGGCAGCCACCACCAGGAGGCGCTGAGCCCCCTCACACTGTCCTGTCTGCCCTGCTGCCTGTCCTTGTGGGCTCTCCCCAGGTTCCACTTACGAGGGTCAGGGTGGGATAGTCACAGCTCCACTCTGGGAGCTGAGGGAGGCATCTGCGCTGGAAGGCCTGCGCGGAGCAACCTGCCTGGCACACCCTCCTGAAGCCCGAGCCCAGGACCTGGTGGTGTGCGTTTCCTCCTTCTGTTTTCTGAGACAGTTCTCACTGTCCTGTCATCCTGACCACTGCTGCCCCGACCACAGTACACCTCTGTACTACACCCAACAGCCGAGACACCGCTGGAGAGACACTGCACAATCCCGGACTTGTTTACTTCAGGTCAGGGAATTCTGTATGTTTCAGTCCTTGCTGCCACCAAGCCTGTAAAACCAAGCTCCAGAAGAGACCAGGTGCCCTTACTACTAACCTTGATTTTTTTCCACTTACTGTAATTAAGTTTCCCTTTTTAAGTCTGTGTAATATTCCATTTGATCCATATAGCACAATTTATCAGTATTTCTTTTTAATGAATGCATCACTTTTTACTTTTTTCTAAAAAATGCTACAGTAAATATCATTGCTTGCATGGCTTTTGTATATTTTGGGTCATCCTTTCACACTAGTTCATACACATGGAGTCACCAGATCAAAGGTAAGAAAATGTGGAGGTATCTGAGACACTTCACAGCCTGCTTCCCAGGTGTGCTGACCTGGGTTCCCAGCAGCTCTGACAGCGCAAGGGGCAGGTGTGCCTCACAGCCTGCTAGTCTGCAAGAACACTCGTGAAGGAGCTCTGGGCCTCCGCCGAGGCCGTCCAGGGCAGGGTTTCACATACTGCAACCCTAGTAAGTAACAATCGCAGGTTCATCTATATGACAAGCACAGGGTGGCTGGGCGCTTACCCGCAGGCAATGGCGCATCCAGACGGGGCGTAGGCGCAGGCCATCACCCAGGTGCAGGGCATGGTCACCGCGTGCTCCTGCAACACAGCATAGAGTGAGCAACCGGCAGCGGCAGGTCACACGTGCACGGCTGGGGCTCAGGGCCGGGGCGGCTGGGGCTTGGCCTCCCATCCTTCACCAACGAGCTCGGGCTAAAATCTCAGCCATCTTATCCCTGAGCTCATGGGCACTGACTGCTCTGTGGGCATGGCTCTAGAGAGCCACGGGTCCCCGTGTCTTCCCTCCTGATGTCTGCTCCCGACCCAGTGGCTCCGCTGCACCCCAGCATCTGGAGCCATGGGCAGCACTGCGCAGCTGTGGCGGGGTCCTGTCCCTGGGCTTGGGCCAGTCCTCCCTGAGCCAGTGAATGTGGCCGCGCGAAGGCGCTGTGATGTGACCCGCTCTCCTCGCCAGACCCTGCTCCGCCCTGGCTGCTCGTGCGCGTGCGCGGGCTCCACCCGGCAGCCCGCTGTGCTGTGCACACGCGTGGGGACGCGCCGCTCACCTTGTTGGTGGTGAAGGAATCCCACACGATCACCTTCCCGTCCTGTGGGGAGAACAGCGCAGGGCTCAGCCCCCAACCTGCCCATGAGGGAGGGGCGAGCGCCCAGCCTGGCTCCTCGGAAGCGGGGCGCCCATGTGCTCTCTGTGCCCCGACCAACCAAACCAGGACGTGGCCACCACCCACTCCTGGCAGGAAAACGATGGGCCCGGACCCCATGGGCCTCGGGAACCTCTCCTACCTTGCCCAGCCCTCCCGCGCCCTCTCGGACCGCCATTCTAGGCCTGGGACTGTGCAGGGCTGGCCCACTGCTCACTGCGTCCTGGGTGGGGGGAGACCACCGTCACCCCTAGAGGAGGGAAGCCCCTCAGGCCAGGGCCGCACTTGCCAGTTTCCTTGGGTGGGGGCGCCACACACCGGGGGTTCCTGGACCCCATGCAGCGCTGACCTGCACACTAGGGCCCCACAACTTGCTCTGACAGCTTCACTCTCCAAGGGAAAGGGCGGCAAGGCCAAGTCCAGGTCCTCTCCCGTCCCTTGCACCCCTCCTCCCCCTCCACAGCAGAGCAGCGTGCAGGGTGCTTTCCTCAGCCCAGCTAGCAGGAGCCTTCTGCAGCGTAGGAAATCCAGTCAGGTGAGCTGGGCAGCTACCGGGACACCTTGCTGACCACTTTGTAAAAGTAAGTGTTCCGCAATGGTGATGGCTGGAACACAGCAGCTGGAGTAAAACTTCTGGTTCTATCTTCCAGTGTTTCTTTAACACATTTGAGTTGGCCAATGTGATGGACAGCGTACCTGCAGGGTGTGAGCTATGAGAACTGTAGAGCAGGTGGACAACTATGTGTTCTAAACTCACTTCAAATCTGTTTTTTACACTGTAAAAATTTTGTTTTGTTTTTGTACTGGGAAGCTTAGGACCTCGAGGAAGCCAGGCAGTCCCACGCCACTGAGCTACACCCCTGGTCCAGCGCTGAAAGAACTGAGAAAGTCAAACTGAAAGAACGACATGGGAATCTTCATTGCGTGTGCCCAAGTTTAGAGAAACGGTTCCTGTGTGTGCCACTGAGTGGGCACATGGAGAAACTTGTGAAAAGGGGCTCACTGTCACAGGATGCCTTGCCACCCACTCAGGAAAAAATGGTTTGGCTCAGTTTACAAAAGTCAAATCCAATCCACACTGTTCCAGCCTCTCCAGACTCTAAGTCTCCCAAATCGGTGAAGAGCAAGAGAATCACTCAAGCTGAGACATGTCCTCTGGGGCACAGGCAAAGTCACCCAGCTGGACAGATCCCCTTTGTCCACCGTCCCTCCCCTGGAACTACCTGTCCCACGCGCACTGTGTAACTACCTGGGAGGAGCTCACGATCCGCCTCTTGTCCCGGCACCAGTCCATGCACAGCACCTTGTTCCCGTGGCCCTTGAGGGTCCGCCTGGTCTTCATGACGAACTGGCCCAGCGCCTCCACTCGCTCCGCCACCTGGCGCACTGGGGAACAAGGTCAGTCAGCCCTGTGCCAAGGGCCTGGCTTGGCACACACGTGCAAGAGGGACAAAGGCCCTCAGAGGCCACGGGTGTTGTGCAGTCGGTCTGTCATGCTTTCACTACACACACTTAAGATTTAAGACACTATGTTTTCCAAAGGACTTCTTTATGGACACAGTGCGATCGACGACACAGT